CTGTCATATCATTATTATTATTTCATTTAAGAATGCATTTCTTCCTAGAGTAGAATTTGCCACGATTTTCTAGTACTTTTTATTCAACATTTCTCTCCGTGTGGACAAATCAGGCTAAAAACCGACTCAATTTTTCGACTCGGGCTCCCACCCCTCATCTTCCAAAATCATCCTCACCGTTACCAAATTAGCATTATTGCAATCTGCAGAACGATGTTGAAGGAATGCTTCCGATAATTGAGAGACTTCTCAGTAATCTCAACTTGTCAGCCAGGGTTTGCCATATTGGCTCTTCATACAGTGTATCGCATACCGTGTTGAGATCAAGCCAATGTAATTAGTCCGATACCAGCCAGAACACTGGGAGCACGCACGTATGAGTAACCCATGTCTATACACAATGTAAAAGTCAAGTATGTGGTTTTGTCAGAGTGCTCGACAACGCCCCAGCAGACAGGTGACCTTGATTGGTCTCTTTCTTTGCATTCTTTGGAATCCAATGCTGTGTTACTCACATATGTACATTTTTTATATACATCTCTCAACTATCTGTTCCTGAAATGATAAAGAATAACCTTCAATCTGGAAAAATCAAATATCAAATGCATTTTTCATGGCTTTTATTCCATCCGAAACTTGATCCGATAAGGGAATTCATAGGTGGGGCAAAACAGATGATGACATTGAGCAATCAGCGAAATTGCCGCTCAAAAGCTCAGCGGAACTGTGTTGCTGCAGTAACTAAGAGAATCCCCGGCCCGTGTATTTTACGATTTCAATAAACAAAAGTTGAACAAAAAGATTTATTCCACGTTCACAGGTAATTTTGAACTTTCAATCAATAGGAAATGGGGGGATAAAAGTGAAATAGTTGTCAGATAAGCCAAGAACTCGATTTGAAAAAGTGCAAAATCATGAAATTTTGAGATTAAAGATGGAAATTTTCAGCGAGTCGAGTTGTCAGCAGATTTTAATAATTCATTGGTGTAAGTCTGGGCCGAAAAAAAGATGTTGATGTGTTCCATATATTTGAAAGTAAGAATACAAGTTCTTATGGATTTTTCATTGCCGAAGTTTTGGTGTGAAAAGGAAAAATCAAACCCCGTGGGTATTCCCTCATGATGCGACCACTTGAGGGTTAAAATCGAAAATAGAATTTCCATGAAAGTTGTTAAGGGAAGACCGCGGTGAAATTAAAATGTTGCATACACTGATAGAAAGGTTTAGTTATCCTTAACGAATGGATTTGGTTGGAGACGGGGGTTTATTCGGTTCCAACCAAAAACCCAACCTCCAACCAAAATCCATTCGTTAACAATAACTAATCGGTTCTATCAGTGTGGACTCATTATATGTGTCGATTAATCCAGGAAATTTTTAATTCGAGGGTGACGATTGCGCATAATACTTAACATCAAAGAATTATTATTGTTTTTTGAAAATGCGTCCAATTATTCATGTGTTAAGGGGATACGTCGGTGAAATTTAAAAGTCTTCACTGGGCCTTGGGACCCATTGAACAATTTGTGATATATGACGGAATATGGAATAACTAGGGAAAATCGCGAATCCTATCGATTTTGCCCCGTATAACCATGAAAAACTTCATTTTTTTCCTGTTTTCATCTTCAAAATGCTCCTTGCGCCGTAGTTTTCATACGATTTTACCTTTTTTTAAAATGTTTGTTACACTCCAAAGAATAAAGTTAAGCATCCGTTCTACTTTATTCGCAATCTTTTATGAATAAATGAATTTTGAATTTCATAAATTTTACTCTACTCTAGAGACGCAAAAAGATGTTACCCTAAAGGCCGCCCTAATTCCCATTCATGATTGAAAAATACTGTCAGCGGTGACAACGAAAAACCCTCAACCAAAGGGGTTGGGTATCACCACTCATGATTCATTCCACAGGTGAATTCCCCAACAAACTGATAAAGACTTATCCTCCAATACCCCGAGTGTATCGAATATTGCCGGCATGAAGTGAAGCCGATAGAGCGTGACCCCACAGTGGCCAGCGTAACGCTTGTTCCCCTTTCAACAGGAAACCATTCTAGTTCAACCGGTCGCAAGACCCAGTGGAAACAAACACTGGGAGGCGTGAATTCACCGAGAAAACGCCTACGCAAAATTCACCACTTTTTACACTACAATTTTTATCCACATTCAATTTTTTCCCCCTCATTTATTTTTACTGATCAGCCATTACGCCCGAAGGTGTCACGACTTGTGTCACGATATTCCACGTAAATACTGGCTTTACTTCCAGCCTAATGGTATTCCAGTGTTTATTGGAGTATCGAGAGACTGAAAATGGCTTCACCCTTTCAACAATTCCGCGTGATGGAACATTTTATGTTTGACTTGAAACAACACTCAGATGTATTCAACTGAGGGCTCAAGGTCATCGGTGATTTGAATGCCTGTAGATACAAACAGCATGAAGTGAGTCTCTCACATTGAGTTCCGCGAAATTCAAACTGTTTCTCTAATAAATTTATCTATCTGTAAGATTTTGTACAACTTTAAAAATGAGGAGAAAAAAAATAAAAATAAATAGAAAGGGCCACCAAATGATTATATCATGGAGAGCGAATGAACAACAAAGACGGAAGATTACGAAATTAAAACAAAAAAAAGAATACGTATACATAATTTTAATTAGCATGAGATATAATTAGACGTTTATGCCAAATAATCCTTTATCTGATTCTTCCATTTAACTATAAACAAAATATCGCCAGAGTGGCGTCGTCAAAGTACAATGTAAATCGTCAATTATTATTTTTCCAAAATTATCAATTTTTAGCATTCTTCATACCATCAACATATCCCAGGATCTCCACACGATTAAATATAATAACAACAATATCTCCACTCTTACCTCCAATAATTCTCTTTCTTATTAATTAAATAGCCGTTTAAAGTAGAAAAATTAGTTTCTCCTTTCTTTGCCAATAAAAATAATATGAACACACGTAATGAATTACGAAACGAAATATTGCTGTGCAAGACGATAAATAGATTAATAATGAGAAAGGCGCTCAGACTACTGATCAAAATTATCCTGCAAGGGATTCTAGTTTACGGTCGACCGTGTTGACTCGACAAGTGCTAAGTAGCGAGAGAGCGAGTTGGATTTCGGCTGCGACAGCCGGACCTGACTATTAAACTCATTTTATTTCGCGCCATCCTTCGAATCCTCCCAATCATCACATATCTAATCTGGGTCAAATTACACTCGTATGAGTTTGGTATTAAAATCGTGGAGGAATTTAAGCCCTCGAATTTTACGACTCAGCACTAAAATGCATTCAACGACTTCATTCTCATTCAATAAAAGCCATCAACATATTTTACACAATGTCACACAAGTTTATGTGTCTATTTCCATTCTGAATTATCGAGGCTTATCCTGACCACAAAGATCCACTCATTCTCGTTCAGTACCATCATATATCACGATGGCCACGGTCACTGACAGCTTCAATTAAATTCATACCCGGACTCGTTACATCCTCGAAAAACCAATCTTCATGTTGCATTTGGAACCGAGAAAACAGTACTTCAGCCTCTCTGGTTGAGATATTTTTTTATCCTCATTTCCCCACCCAAGTAACTCACATGATTTACGCGGTATGCTGTCGACGGCCCAACGACTTGTGAACACATGGGTAGATTGTGATTTTTTTTATTCATCTGTAATAACAAGGAACATTGCTGTTGAACTTGCCTCACTCCAAGGACAAGTGGAAAAAAAATATTGAAGGAATATTGTGAATGTCATAATTCACTCGTAACTCGGTCTTTACGTTTTTTACATTGGTAATAAAGTTTAATTTTATTGAAGAGTAGACTTGCGATACTGCTTGACCACATCCCAATTTATGACTGGGCATGATTCGGAAAAAGAGACGGGAATAAACTGGTAGAATTAGGAGTTACACGCAACATAATGAGTGAAACGCAATCATTCAATTTGTCTACATGGTATTGAATGGTTGTGTTCTACAATTGGCCTTCATGTTTGATATGATGGCGCAAGGGTCTGATTGTGGAATGGTAAAGGCTCTTTACTAAACAGCAAGTTATAGATCAGGGATTCCGGGACTACTTTTTAGTCCGGGTGTTCTAGAAGAAACGGCGTATCTCGAGAGAATAATTTAGAAACCTCCATCTCAGAATTCGTATTTAATAAGATTCAACTGAACATTGAGGGTCCAATAGGTTTAATTCTATTGTTCCCACACTAGCACTATCTCAGCTAAAATTAAAAGACCCATATTGCAAATTAAAATTGCTTATTGCAATAAATTCGTTGGTATAATTTATCTATGAGATAGTGCTTTCTTGTGAAATCGTCACTAATTTTCAGTAAAATGTCACCAAATTTTAATAATAGAAATCACTGATAATCAAGGTTATTCCAATCAGTGTTAACTATCACCAATAATTGATTATAGAATCATAAACATCAGTGACACGTCCCTGGAAGTCATTGACATGTTTCTAAAAATTAAGTTTTTTCTTCTCTGTTTTTTCAAATTTTAATTCCGAGATAGAGCTGTTTCAATTATTCTCCGGATAATGCCTTCCCTTTCCGGACACATCGTACTCTACTTTTCACTGCAAAGATGATAATTGTCATAGACAAAGTGTCTCAGAAGTGCATTAAATTTGCAACTATGTCGGACAGTATTAGTCCAATTGGACTGTTTTCAAGTGAGAAAATGCTAAAGACTTCCAATTCTAAAGAGATCCCACAGTTGATTGTTAGCCCTCACAATTTCGCTACTGCATCTCGCTTTAGCTCATGGTTTTCAAGTACAAATGGCGATAAAAGAAGGAGCACACAATCAACATTAGAATTCAATTTATCGAATACATATTCCTGACGTATTCATTCCTCCCCGATTAAAACATGTCTCAATAAATCTCCCTCAGCCTTCTCCCCACATTCATCAGACACAATCTAACCATCACCATTGATTTCCAGGTACTGTTGGACGCAGCACTAGTGTGGGAGCATACAACCGCAGCGCCAGTCAAGCGTAATGACATCCTAGCTGGCACTGAATTCCTATCAGTCTTCATAAACGGTGCAATGGCACCAACACCCCGTAGACGTGGCTTCCGACGTGGTTACCAGGTACAGGACAGCGTTGCTGCCGAGTCACGACAGAGTGAGGCCTCAATATACCGGATATCCCGGGCACCATCGAGTCCAAGGCCGACGATAACACGACCCAGTCACCGAGAGATTGGCGCCAGGCTATATCCAATAAGTCACAAATCGCTGGAGCACAATAGACAGAGTTTCACTCCAGTTGTCGAGGATATTGGAACGACCGAGGAGATTGGATTGAAGTTGAAAGCACCGACACCGGCAACAGGAGGCAGTCATCATCATCACAATCATCATCATCATCAGATAGTGAGGATCAATGGTACGCGGGGTTTAGGTAACGGTAAGACTGTTAATAGAAAGGTCATCGGGGTCAGCGTGACATCAACAGTTGAGGCAACACCTTACAAGGTGAGGGTCGAGCACTACGACAACGATCAGCTCAGCATGGTGACTAGACCCCCCGCGGATTTGCCAGCATCGCAGGGAACTTTTTCTACAGTTAGAACTACGAAGCCTACCTCAACTCTGGGAATCTCGTCGAGACCTTTCACAACGTCCACAACTACCGTCAGTACATCAATAACGAGAGGCTCAACGGCCACAACTCCACCGGCACGATTGGTCACTGAAGAACTGAGCAACATTGTTTCTGAGTCAAATCGCAGTGGCTTCTCGGTTGACGAAGGACTACCAAGAACAAGCTGGCAAGCGAGGTCTTCCGTCACCCCTGGCGTTGGGCCAACAATTCCTCATTCGACTCCGTCCTCGAGATCTCCAAAGGTGGAACTGGACTCAGTGCCCGTTGGAAGTTCCTCAGAACCTGTGGAACAGAGCTACGAGCTTCCTGAGGACAACTCTGAACCTCCGGAGAACCACGAAGAACCTAGGGAAGTCAGTGAGCACCCGCCGCAGGGGCGAAAGGCTGGCAGACATTACGACACGTCTTTGTATAATCAACCCCCTAAAGTCTACCCTCAGCCCTCGAAGATCTACGGGAAACCTTCCAGGGTTTACTCGGAACCGTCGAAGGTTTATGGAGAACCAGAGAAGAATTACGGAGAACCCGCGAAAGTCTACTCGGAGCCTTCGAAAGTCTACAGTGAGCCTTCGAAGATTTACTCTGAACCAGCGAAAGTGTATTCAGAGCCAGCGAAAATCTACGGAGAGCCCGAGAAAATCTACTCCGAACCAGCCAAGGTTTACTCTGAACCAGCTAGGATTTATGGAGAACCCGCGAAAGTTTATGGAGAGCCGGCTAAAGTTTACAGTGAACCAGCGAAGATCTACGGCTCTGATGGAAGACCAGTGGAGCCTGTGGAGCAGAACTATGAAGTCGATGAAGCTGTCAGTGTTGGAAGCAATGGGAATGTTCATGGTGTAGTTACCGAGGCATCGAATGCGCAGACTGATGTCGATGGTCATAAAGTCGGTTACGTTGTCGAAGGGAGGAACTACAGGAAGTACAGGGTTGAGGAACGAACACCGGATGGCTTCATTGTCGGGGAGTATGGGGTTGTCAGTCATGATGATGGATCTTTGCGTGGTGTCAGGTACACCGCTGACGGAACCATCAATCCTAGGCTCATCTATGATGCACTGATGAAGTTCCTCGCTTTGTGAGGGGGCTTTTGGAAACTAAAGAAGTATAGAACGAACTTAGTAGCGAATTGGTGAAGGAAGATGAGTTTTGAGTAAAGTACGGAAGCTTTCTCGGGAATAGTTTAGAAGGTTGGGATTCAGAATCAAGTGGTAAGTGATTACTTGTTTATGTCAGAAGGTTGACGGAGGTGATCAGCAGCACATTGATTTATGAATTTGGTCACAAAGGTTCAGCTAGGGCAGATCTTCTGATATTAACAAAGAGTGATGATGTTATCATTAAAAAAAACATCTTTTGGAAGACATTTAGAAGTCATGAATTCCGGAAAGAGTTCTAGCAATTGGATTCTTCATACAAATATCCGAAAAACTAAGAAAAAGTTTAAAAACTCCACAAAATAAGAAGAGATTGCACACTTCGAATGCATTAGGTATTGTAGGTGCATTGAGTCAAATCTATAAACAAACCGGATTATCTCAAAATGTTGCCCTCACACTGTTGATTTTAGACCAAAAAAATTGACAATGCATACCTTCTTAACAAACTGCATCAAAGTAGTCCACTCAATCGGTGTTATGACAAGCGCAACATAGTCTGCAAACCAAATCAACGACTCTTAGTGTCAAATCCGGAAAGTCCTCAGCTGAACCTTCCCTGTAGAGAATTGTATGAAGTAAAAGAAAGCCTCCTCGACATTTTACTGTAGAAATCTGGGACCTCCCAAAATAGGAATCACCTTCCTTGATCATTTTGCTACAGAATTGCCTTCGACACGTCGGCGAACGACTGATTTTATTAATTTCTTCGCTCTTGCCAACTCAACTGCCTCATCTTGTAATGTTTAATAGAATTCTCACTCTAAGATAATGCGCCTAGAACAATGTTCGATTATTTCTCATTTCTGGAATTCTCGGATTGAACATTTTCCTAGGTGTTAGAAACGCTTCTGTGACGATTTAATCCACCCGGAAATGAGGATCAAAGTGGCCTGAGTCCCAACGACTCCGCTTCTACGACCATAAATGGCAAACTCGTCACGGCAGCGTTTCCGGTAACAACCCACGTGTGTTAAACGTCAAATCATAATATGTAGTAATTTGATTTTATGATGGATCACTGGTTAGTTCTTTAAGGACATTGAAGACGCCGACTCATTGCATGGGTTCAACGTCCCAGGAGGTATCTCAATAAACGAGAGACGTTTGATTAATCTCTAGTAATAATCGTATGAATAATAGCGGTATTTTACGGTATGTTTTAGTCCATTGTCTTCATATTACCTCAATCATTGAGATAGTTCCTCTTGGATTGTTTAGTCGTTTTGTTTATTACGAGTGTCTCAAAATGTGTGCGTGCGAATAATGAGGTGCTCGATTGTTTTTTATCTAATCATCTGAGGTGCAGTCATTTCGGCATTGGCAATAGCCGTTTTTCATGGAGACGACGGGAGAACATGTGTGCAATTTTTAAATATTTATGATTAGTGTTAAATGAACGAAGATGATAATGTGATGAAAATGTCTCGATCGAAATTAAAAATGAGAATGGAAAAGATAAATTGCCAATTGTTATGAATATATGCTCAACGTTGACGATTTTATGAATGATGGGAAAATTAATTTATGCATGGATGACGAGTTTTTGAATAGACGGAATGAAATTTCACTCATTGTTCATTGTAAATTACATTGATTTATTTAATAATCTCAATCATTATCTGGATTAACGTTTTTTAAAATTGCGAACTACGAATGCTCATACTCGAGATAGTTTATTAATTAATTGATAAATTGATGAGACAGTGCAGTGTAAGTAATATTTACTGTTGTAGAATGTATAAAGCTGTGCTACCGCCATTCCTCGGGAGAAACGAATTATGAATAAATTCACCGACATAAATTGTTTTGATTGTTTTTTTCACCTTCGTTTTTATTATTTTACCTGAAATATGATGGGGAAATGGGGTAGTTGGGAGTAACTAAATGATCATAAAGCTGTCAAACGTGACAGGGATTGCACGATCATCGGATCGCTGGGGATTAATGAGGGGTAATTTGAGGGAAAGAGATCAGCGGGGAATGCAGATTGGGAATTTCCATAAATAAAACCGTCATTAATCTGGTATTCGGGGCCTTGGTTGGATCGCTGAATGTACACAGAGCCGGTGGGCATCGCGGGTGATTTTTCTGAGATGTTCGTTGACCCTTTTACATAAAAAAGATGTTAAATAGTGGGATCGTTATAATGCAATCATGGTTCTTGCTTATTTTTCAAGACTTGGTTTTTTAATTTATGTGGAGATAACTCAATTTTGCTGGAAGTTGTGAAAAAACAGAAACAATTTAATGAACACATGTGAAAAATCGTATAAAGATGTTCTATAGGACATTTAAATTTATGGTTATTCAACGTAAAGCCTTATAGGTTCGCCATATTTCATGAGTCTCAATTCTTTTTGACGTTCTAATACACCGTTATTCTATATAAAGTCTTACAGGTTCACCATATTTCATGAGTCTTAATTCATTTTGCTTATTATTATTACTGGTATCGTGGAATTTGAAAAAAATTCTTAGGATTCTGATAGGAATTTTTATGTACAAATTGTGATAAACCCGTAGAATTCGTTATAGAATCGACCTATGAGAACGTCCTGTAGAACGTCTTTATACGATTTGTTCATACGTGAATTTATTGCTGAGTTTGACAATAATGTCATTTTATTCAAGGAAATAGAACAATTTAGTCAATTGCGAAATTCATTGTGAAATACACTGAAAAACATCAGTGAGAAATTGTTGTAAAATCTAGATGATCGGGGACGACATGTTCTTTGGGGGAATTTCATAGAAAATTTGAAGCGAAGAATAAATTTTTCCCTGTGTATCTTATCTATGTGAGAAACTGAATGAGATAGCCAACTTTTTGTAGAGCAGCGGGATATTTGCAAGGGGTTTGTGTAAAAATTTCGTCATTTCCCTAACATCTTGAAATATCTATTTGAAATTAATCTAGAGGAAAGAAAAACAGAAGAAATATCAAATTTCAGAGGTCGTGAAGTGTATCATTTGAAACAGTTTGGAAATATTTTAAAGATCTCCCAAAAATTAGAAAGTCTATTTTTTGAAGGAAATTCTTTGAAGAATTGAACAATTGCAACTTTGCAAGATTGCAATTTTTTTCGTAAATAATCTATGAACAGTCAATTTTCCACCCTAAAAGGTACTATTTCCTAACATTTACCTGAAAAGTTCACTTTTCGGGGCGATTTAGCGAGCGTCGTATTTGTTTTTCGCACGACGTGCGTAAAATTCAGAGGTCGTGTGGGAAATAAATTCCCGTGCGTAAGGCTTTACCCACGACCTTGAATTTTACGCACTCCGTGCAAAAAAACAAATATTCTACCCCCACTGTATCCCTCAAAAAGTAAACTAGGCCGGTATTACAAAAAAATAGAAGGGTTACACGTGTGTGCGAAAATTTTCATTTTACGCACGAGTGATGAAATAGTATATTTCGGTCCGATTGCGTCAGTTTTTTTTTACTCGTGGGAGGTGCGCAGCGCTTGCCGAAGGCGAGTGCGTAAAATTTTATGCAAAGTACGTAATATTTAATGCCAAGCGTGCGTAAAATTTCACTTTACGCACAAGTTATGAAATCTACTATTTTCGAATTCATCGCAATTCCATGACTTTTCAAATGTTGCTCACGCCATTTAATTGAATCCGAATCTATAATATGTTCCGTAAAAAGCTATGAAAAATAATTAGATATCCTACACATGAACGTGAATTTTCTTGCGTGCTTTAGGTTTTATGCATTTTTTTTCTCTATTGAAAAATAAAGGAAAGAGTAAAATGACAACATTTCATATTTCGAGTACCCATTGGAATCCCAAAGGCATCAATTGCATCCAAGTGATCTATCATTCCTGTCTGCCAACAAGGACTATCCATTATCCATTGAAAAATACCTATACAACATTGCAAGTGCACTCTCGAAGCTATTAATCTTGAATTTTTTCACTTAATATTCGCCTTCAGGCGTCCCAATCCACTCCTCCCTGTGTTATCGAATGAAAGCGTTAAAATTCTATTTTCCTCTCACAATGTGACTCCCATAATCCGCTTGTTAGTTCTGCCCGGTAATCCGTGAACTGTCTGTCAAAATGATTGGATTTTTGCATAATTTTTTTTTATCGCGCTCCTCGATGCTTCCATTGTCCCGGACTCCTCGGCTCCGATTTGTTTGTCTCCTCGGATTTTTTTCCTGCACCGCGCTCTAACCGTGTTGCACAAGTCGGTTAATAAAGTGAAAAACGCGCGAGGTGGGCATACTAAAGCGGGTGGATCAGGTATTGTACGAGTTTTCGAGGGTGAACGAGTGTCCCATCGCTTGCGCAATCCTGTGACAAAGAAACTCGTTAGCCATATGCATAATGTGGATTTTTTTTGCGGACGATTTTTGTGCAGCCAAAATCGTAAACAACGTTTGTGCAATTGGATTTGGGTGAGTATTTTAAATGCTAATTTGGAATGAGACACGAAACTCATTTGGCAATTCTTTTTGTGAATTTTTCATATGGAAAACCCATTATCATGTATACTGAGAGAAAAATTTGCGCGAACATGGAGAGAATTAAAATGTGAACATAGTAATTGAGGACTACACTGTTGGAAAAAAAAGGAAATTTCATGGACAGTTGACCACTAATTTTCAGAACTGTGACACTAAATGCGATTTAGTTTCACTGAACATTCAGTAAAATTCCAGAATTTTAAGCAGCATAAAGGCGAGATTCGTTAATTTATTTGAACTTCCAATGTAATATGAATATTCAGTGTTAAATGACATTTTCAGTGAGATTTAAAATTTCATAATTTTTTTCCCTCAAATGTCCTGAAAACTCTGGAATATATTTACCAGAATTTTCTGATTTTGTATTCACTTTCAGGGGAAAATGGAACTGAAATTTACAGTTCTCTTTGATTTTTTCACAAAATTTTCAATTTTCAATTTTCAATGTTCCCTCTCCCCCTCCTCTTATTTAGAATGTATTCATTCTACGTGGAGCACAATTATTGATAATAATTTTCAACAATCATATTGACCCAGTCGCCGGAAAGTTTGGACTTTCCGCCCCCCAAACAGGGCAGGAAGTGATTGATTCCCTCCCGCGGGAGGAAAGTAAGTCCCGAGGTCGGAAAGAGCCTCCTTAGGGAGGATAGTACTCACTTTCTGCCCTACTTGAAAATAGTAAGTGCACCACGGGCGGACAGACATTCCCGACGACAGAGTTGGGTGATGTCCGAAGTGAAAAAAAGGCCACAGGCTCGAGGGCCGAAGGCCCGAACGCACTCGTCACGAATGTCCAACTTTCCGCCCTTGGTACAATATACTATTCTCTTTGTGGTTATCAAAAATCCGAAGGCTGTTCAGTAGCATAACTCCGATCGATTTGAATAATTGACACAGGTATGTAACCTCAGAAAAACATCAACATAACTACCGTAGTATCTGTTACATTCGTCATAACAGTCCCTTGAATAGTCACTCTGCATATCAACTTCTACATAAAATCCAACAAACGTCAAGTCGTTACTCTTCAAACCTCGCTTCCTAATCCATTCCAATACACCTCCTCGTGAAAATCTCTTGCACGTAGGAAACTTAATTAGAAAAAAAATTCACCCGAGTCCATTAAATATGAGAATATGTTGATACATTCCACTTCGACGTGGACAGACGTTTGATTGACTGATAATCGAAACCTCACAAACGGAATTTGTACTGTAATAGATCACCGATAAATATTCAAAGTGACAATTGATAAATAAAAAAAAAATTAAAACATAAGGAAACATCGTTTGACAAATTTGTGATCAATGTGTCGACATTTATCACGCAAGATTGTAGTAAAAAACAAGAACACGCAAAAATCTGTCAATTTCCTTTATTTTTATGTACATAAGATGTGATTGACTCATCATTCAAAATGTTTAAGTGCTTAAAAAAACGACAAAAAATAGTTTAGCATGGCAAAGTGAATAAAGGGACACCTGACAGTCGCGCAGAGTTCCTCCTCGACGCCTCGGCGCCATGTAAATTGACGGCGTCACTCAAGTCCTTGAGAGAACAAATTTTTTGCGACTCCTGCTCCTCCTTTTTCTGCTCCTTAGCGATATCGCATGCAGCTAAACAAAATGAGGTGTCTTGAAACAACAAATTATTGGAGTAAAACAAGGTTTTTGAACAAAAAATATTTCTTCAAGCGGAGATGCGTAAGAACCCGGTATGCAGTAGATCATGTCTGGAGATAATTTTCAAGATCACCGGAACTACCAGTGTGTACTATTGGGAAATTATTCTTGCTATTTCGAATGGAAAATCTTGAAATTTTCAATAAGGCCTAATTTATGAGAAATTTCCACATCTGTTGGGATTGACAAATCGATTTATTTCGGGAACATTCAATGGAATTGAATTTTTAGGTCCATATAACAATGATTATTTCCCCCATCACCCTTCCAAACAATATACTGAGTGAAAAACGACAAAGTTCTCAAACAAGTCTTACTTATGCCAAGAAAATAGTTTTTTGAAGTTTATCAAAAAGGATTTTTTGTGCCAATCATGCAGAGAGTGCGCCGGAATGAAAAATTTTTGTCGCAAAAATAGATTTAGTAGTTAAAAAAAATTGCGTTCTCTGTCCACGCAAGAAATGTACTACTCCTTCGTTATTCGATACTCCCACACGTATTTTGCTCTTAAAAAATCTTTGTTTTATTAATTATCAACGATCGTAGAACATGAAACGATTGAAATTTGTTGACTTTTCACGACAAATAAAAAGTCACG